ACGCGTACATAGAGGCGGTATTTGTGTGGGCTTTGTGAGTCTTTTTCGATGTGTGGGAATGATCAGCTGTTGTCCAGGTGTGGTGAGGAGGAGGTGTGAGCATCATGTGTGGTGCTGGATGCTGTGGTCACATGAAGGCTCGTGGGAAATGTGCATATTGCTGGCTGGTTGACTTGTTCAGTTGAGGGTGTGGGGAGAGGAGCAGTTGTGTGTTGTTAAGAGAAATTGAAGTTATTGATGGTGGTGATGAAAATTTGGGAGCAACTTTCACCTTCCTTACTGTTGTATAAAGTGTGTGTGTATCGTGTGTGTGTATATATATATATATATATATATATATATATATATATATATATATATATATATATATATATATATATATATATATATATATATATTGTGTCTGTCTCTCTTTTTATGTGTGTGTGTGTGTGTGTGTGTGTCAGGGCGCGCATGTATGTATAAAACTCTTCATAATGACCCCCCCCCCTGCTCGCTCACTCACCTGAGGTTCCATTATAAGGCGGCCATAAATAGGGTCAGCCCATTAGCAGGAGACATAATGGTTGTAGGTAATGACGGCCCAGCTTGGTGTTGGGGCGATCCATACTTCCCGGGGCGCGGTGAGGCTGGTGGTAGTGAGGGGGGTTTTGTTAGTTGTTGTGGTGCTGGTAGTTGGTGAGGGGGAGGGAGACTGGTTAAGAGGAGGTTGATGGTGTTGGTAGTTGGTGTTAGTGGTGTGGGATGCTGGTGTTGATGCTGGTAGTTGTGGTGCAGGAGGTGATAGTGATGAGTCTTTTGGTGTAATATCAAACCAGTGACCGCCTTTCCTGACCGAACGGATGTGTAATTTTGGTGTGAGGGATGACCAAAGACCAGTTCGCATTATACGTTTTAATATATATATATATATATATATATATATATATATATATATATATATATATATATATATATATATATATATATATATATATATATATATATATATGTGTATAATTATTTTTTTTAATAGCGATTTTATTTTTGTTTTTTTTTTACTATTTTTTGACGAAGCCACAAGAGAACTGCTATATAGGAATTGGATTTAGCATCAGCACTCTTAAAATGGTACACTTGTAGTAGTTGTCCATTTATTATTATTATCATCGTCGTCGTCGTTGTACTCGCTGTTATTGTTTATTTTACTTGTGTTGGTTTTTAGTGATAAGGTCATTTAAGTCTTCCAGGCTGCAGGTACCGTCGAGATGAAGTCAATGGCACTAATAATTCATTTAAGGAAACTCGTGTGTCTGGTATACAGTGACATCACCATGAGGCTTAGAAACATCTCGATAAAAAAAATATCAGTTAATCAGCGAATAATCCTAAAATTGTATAGTCACATTAAAAGAAGATAAATTGATAATAAAAAAATCCCCAGCATAGCTCAGAGTAAATTCCTCAACTTATAATACTATCTGTCACATTTGAGGATGACTCACTATACAGCTCTGAAATACACGCAAGTGCACGAAAAAAGTTTCCCCTCTTGTATATCTGCACGAAAAAAGTTTCCCATCTTGTATATCGGGGTGTTGTAAGAACTCCCAGTGCCACGAAAACGTACAAAAATCACTCAAGGAAATTCTCCCTACGCAATAAACAGTGACATCTAGTGGTGATTGAAATATAAATGTACAGGAGGAGGAAGAGGCGGAGGCGTCTCTTCGCCCGCTTTTCCTCCCCCTCAGATGACGTCATGGATGTGGCGGGTAATCAGGTTAGGTGACGCCACTCGCCCTTGTTACGTTTATCATTGCCGTATTGACCTCTTACTGCCCTAGCTGGGTGGGGAAGCTGCGAGGGGAAGTAGACGCATTAAATTACGACGCACTCTTTGCCTGTTGCCGATTACGAGCGCTAAATCCCCCGACCACGATAAACCACGTGCCTGAAAATTGCACCGGGAAATGTATTGATCTGATTTGTGCAATTCTTACCACTGCTTGCACTTCTAATATAAATTTCCCTTACATTGTTATTCGTAAATTTATATGATAAGGAACATTGAGGTTGTAGAAGCAAGCAACAAACAGGAGGGGAGAAGTAGCAGCCTAGTGCGTCATACTGGGCGGCATCACCCTCCCCTCCACCACTACCAATCGCTTTTCTTCTTAACTCAATTTGTTCCACTTCTGATTCACCATTAAGTCCGGGCTATGTCTCTTTGTGCATTAATGCCCGGTTTCCACTTCTCCCTATTGTTACCATATTATTTGTGTTATCTCTGAAAGGCGGCGGCTCTTAGGGCAACTCTCTCTTGTTACGGCAATGTGATATCTCTAGAAAGGTTAGGTCTTATTGTATTATCAGTGAGCCTTTGTTTATTGTCACGATTTTGTTTCTATTGATATAGTTTCATTAAGTTCGTGTTTTCTCAAGTCTGTTGGGGTTTTATTTGTGGATTTTTTCTTTACTTATAGCTGTGAGGTTATCCTGAAATACTACTCATTGCTAAACTATAATGACATATATTAATGATATAGTGAAAAGCTACATTGTTAATACAGTATACGCGCTTAATGAAACTTAAATATTTTGGTTAATAATAAAATAATATCCTTCATACAGCAGTTATTTTTGTTTTTTTATAAATGCAATATTGCTGACACGATTTTGAAAGAACATAGCTGCATTTCACTGTCTGAAAAAAACTTTCACCGAATATCGAAGTCGGATGTTGTGTCAGTCTTCAATATTTTTGTATTTTAATTATGAATATAATGATTGCTTAAATGTCATAAATCTTGCTATAGCATCTTAGTTTAATATTTTCAGATTATTAGTAGCGTTTCTCTTTTATTAATTAATTTCATATTTTTAGAACAACCGGTAGATAACTGTAATTGTAACATTATTATTATTATTATTATTATTATTATTATTATTATTATTATTATTATTATTATTAATGCTGTTGTTGTCTTCGTATATGTTAAACAGCCAAAGAAAAATACTCGGGTTAACTTTACTGATAATCTCAAACGCAAAAAGATCGTTAGGAATTACTGAAGTGGTGGATTTAATGGATAACCGAAGGGGGGAGATTTATTAGTTTACTGAAATAGCCTAATCCAAATTACCGAACCTAACCAAACCAAACTTAGCCTAGCTTAACTAAACTTTATCTAAAGAACACGATACCTAAAATGACTTTACTCACCCACCAGGCCACCACCCAAATATTCGTTGATTCAATAGCGAGGCAGCAGTTGGTTTACTACTACACAGAATGACAGAATTTCAGCAAATGTAACCAATAGTTGTTTTTTAATACTATTTTCCTATTTTATCGAGTTCCCGGACTCTTAGACATCGGATTCTTTGAGATTTAAAAGTAGTGATTGGATTTTAATTTTATTTGTCGCAATGTTAACTATTGGCTTCCTGATGGTATCACCTGAAGATTAGACACACTGTATTTCACCTGAAGCTTAACTACCCTAACCTGATCTAACTTCATATAACCTCACCTAATTCCTAGATAATGTTAGGGTGGTTACTCTTAAGGTGAGATAAACTGGAGTGTCATTTTTTTTCTTTCTAATCCACTCAATTGCTTCAACTGTCGGGGTCTTTAAGCACTGATCACTACGTCTTTATTCTTATACACCAGATATCTGTTACAAACATGGTAGGATATTTTTATTTTTTTTTATTTTTTGGTATTAGTTACTTCATGTGCTAGGCCCGGCTAGGGTTCAAAGTTGGCTGGCCATGGGCTGATCAAGGACTATCAGAAGGGGGTCCAAGAAGTTGTGGGGTGATGGGGACAAAGACTATATTCTGTAATCTTTGGGTAGGGAACAAGGCAAGCAGAGCAAGCCCACCCAGAATTTTTTTTTTTTTTTTGAAATCTGACCAATATCAAAGGCATTTTGAGGTCATTTTGAAGTCATGTGCACTTGATATTAGGGGGTATTCTGGGGTCAATAGTATTTAATTTTTACTATTCAAAAACACCCTGAGAACAATACTGCATGAAAGAAAAGGTAATGGAATTTTCTAATGAAAAGGTGGTTCCGGACTCCCAGGACCCCCCCTGGATCCGCCCCTGCTTGCTATTGGTTTTGGATTGTGTGTGTTTGTGTACAGACTGTCTTCTTAAGCATCTTTTACCAAACACTTTTCCATTTCTACACATGTCATCAGACACATCATCGTTACCGTTGTTAGTATGTGTTATCGCCTCATGTATTGGCCGGGTATATGCTCCCTCAGTCACCCTGCCTGCGTATTCAATGTTTGTTTTTTTCATCACCTTGTATTAATGTATGGTAGATGAAAAATTGTATGTCCATGGTAAGTCGGACATTCTGCACATAGTAAATAGCACCGTAGCGACTTAATATCACATTAAGTGTGCTGTCGTTAATTGTTAGTTAAGCTGCCGTACACTCGCTTATCAAAATACTCTATCTGCGTCTCGAAGCTATGACAAAACAGTTAGTCTTAGCTGAACAGTAGATAAGCCGCCATGCAGCATGTGGTCACAGCGGCAGTAAAGGAGGACTACATTAAGTGGTTGCAGGCGTAAAACAAGTATTGTGCTGTGTTCTGGCCGATGTGTTGTGAGAGGCGGGGATATATGGCGGCAGGTGGCTCCCACTTTGATGTCTCCCACTGCTCCTCAGGCGTTCCTCCCCGCCGCTTAACACCTCCTATCAGACCTAAACCAAACCAGCCTTGCATTTCTTACACTTAACAGTACGAGATGCTCTAACATATACCAAATTCACTTAGCCTTTCTTACACGTAACAAAGCGAAGTACTATTCGTCCAAATGTATCGTCAGTTGTCATCAAGACTCATCCCTTCTTATTTCAATTTTATTTTAAGATGTGTGTTTGTTTGTGTGTGAGTGGTGTGGGTATTTGTGTGAGAGGTGTGAGCCTGAGAGTGGTGTGAGTATGTGTGTGAGAACGTGTGGGCTTATGACTGGTGTGGGTACATCACAGGCTGGAAGGAGTGTGGCGCGGCCATCTTGAGCGGATGGTGAGTGGCGGCAGGCAGGCAGCTCGCGTTCACCAGTGCGCCGCCGCCGTCAGTAGTATTGATCGAGCAGACTGTGACGACTCCTGGGTCAGGGCACCTCCCCGCGCCCTCAGTACCCCCTATACCAACAGCTCTTTTATTTACACCCTATGAATTCCTCGAGTTCATTCTAATGTTTTTGTTTTAGTTATATTTTTCTTCGTGAGGAGTTGTGCCTATTTTGTACCCCAGTGTAGGAAGGACCAGAATTAAGTAGATTAGTGAAATTTTATCCAAACTGAAAGTTGTAACACCTGAAGGTTAGTCACCCCAACTTATTTCACATAAAGATAAACCACCCTTATTTAACCTAACCTACCTCGAGGGGGGGTGGGGTAGCATTCTGGTGGGTAATCTTCAGGTGAAATAAGATGGAGTACCTTATCTTCAAGTGAATTGATCCTAAAAAAATTTAAATATATGTTTATAATGCATTTATACACACACACACGCACGCACGCGCGCGGTCATCAGGAAATTGGTAGTAAAGCGCCATGCGGCAGATGTAAAGGAAATTTTTAGGTGTACAGTATTATAATTTCTGCCATGCACATATATAATATTGAGTATGGTCAAGGGTAATTAATATGAACAGGTGTTGTGATCTGGCCTCGATTCTATAATATATGCAGGTGTAATAAAATAAAGACAAGTACATGTATTGTGTAGTTACTTGATATAGACAAGTGTAATTACTATAGGCAGGTGTTTATATTACAGGCAAATTTAATTGTCATTTACAGATGTAATTAAGATGGGTATGGTAGATTTAGTTAGGTGTTTGTATTCTTGGTTGATTTAATCCGGGTGTGAGTGATATACACAGGTGTTAAGTCCAGCCTCACTAACCGTGCGTATATCCCCCACAGGTGGTGAAATACTGTGAACATGTACACGGCAAGTGGCACTTCAGTGAGGTGCGGGCCATCTTCAGTCGACGCTACCTCCTTCAGAACACTGCCTTGGAGATCTTCCTCGCCTCCAGGAGTAAGTAAAGCTCAGTGTTGTCTTCCTCACCTCTGGTAATAAAGGAATAAATCATGCTCTTTATCATTATTATTATTGATGTTGTTGCAATGATGATAGAAGGCAACAAATAATATTATTATTAATACAGTACAATAAGGACAGTAGTAGTAAACTACCAATATTGTTCCTGGTCCACTTAGCTCACTTCCTATATTTGTCTTAGTATTACTCCGTTGTAGATATAACAGTAAAGGTATAATATCATCCTGTTATAGATACGTCAGTAAAAATATATTGCCCTGTTATAGATACTAATATCAGTAAAGATGTAGTACCCTGTTATAGATTTATCAGTAAAGAAAATTTGTCAATTGGTTAATGCATTACCATTTTAAGTAGTAGATATATATCGGGTGAATTATATCGCCGTATTATCAGTATACTGTACTGTAATATATTACTGAGATGTAAAATGATCTTGCATATGCAACACACACACACACATTTTATATATATATATATATATATATATATATATATATATATATATATATATATATATATATATATATATATATATATATATATATATATATATATATATATATATATATATATATACATATATATATATATATATATATATATATATATATATATATATATATATATATATATATATATATATATATATATATATATATATATATACAATCAACACCTCAACCCGCCAGGATTCGAACCCACGGCCCACTAGCCCTTGACTGTGACCGGGGTCCAGCGGTTAGCGTTCCCCGGTCACAGTCATGGGCTAGTGGGCCGTGGGTTCGAATCCTGGCGGGTTGAGGTGTTGATTGTATGAAGAAGTCCGCGTGCTATTGGGCTAATGAAATATATATATATATATATATATATATATATATATATATATATATATATGTGTGTGTGTGTGTGTGTGTGTATTGTATATGCAAGATAATTTTACATCTCAGTAATATATTACAGTACAGTATACTGATATAATTCACCTGATATATATAAATGAATACTGTGTATCATATTATGGTTGCAGTGTATTATTATATTGTTTTCTAGTGGTATATCATGGTGTTGTAGAGATATATCATGCTGTTATTGTTATAGCATGGTGTTGTGGTTAGATCAGTGGTGTAGTACAATGGTGTTTTAACGTGGTGTCTTCCCGCAGCGTCGGTGTTCTTCACGTTCCCTGACCAGGCGACCGTCAAGCGTGTGGCAAAAGCATTGCCGCGGGTGGGCGTGGGCATCAAGTATGGCATCCCTCAGACCCGCCGTGCCTCCATGATGTCCCCGCGCCAGCTCTTCCGGGCCTCCAACATGACACAGAAGTGGCAGCGCAGGGAGATATCCAACTTCGAGTACCTAATGTTCCTCAACACCATCGCTGGTGAGTGTGTTCAATGACATCGTGTTCCTCTTGTCACTCAGATACACTATTCACAAGTGACAAATGCATTTAATGTACACTATAAAATAACCATAATGTGGTCATGGGAATTCACTCACAAGTCACCAAAGGCAATACAAACTACCACCAGTTAATGCTTGTTTATGGAAGGATTAACTAAATTTCATCATAAATATTTTACCTCATATAAACGCCTTTGGTTCAATCATCATCATGTCCTGCTACAAATGTTTGGTGAATTTCTCAGACACGATGATAACCACGTCTTCCAGATAGAACATGTAGGGAAAGACTTGTAATAGCAGCTTATTTTGCCCTATACTTCAACATCCAGGCTTAGTGCACCTTATACAGACTAGCCATTTGAATAGAGTGAAAGATAAAACAGTAAGAAATTAACCATGATTGAGGCTGTCACTATAACACTTTTCAGGTCGAACATATAATGACCTGAACCAGTATCCAGTGTTCCCGTGGGTGCTCACCAACTTTGACTCACATGAACTTGATCTCTCCCAGCCGTCCAACTATAGAGACTTATCAAAGGTTAGTCAAGAGTAGGACGTATCTGTACATTGTGGAGTACTTTAAAAGCTAAGGTAATATTCTCCTTATTTGATACCTATAGTTTATTATTTATGTAACAAATTTTTACTTGAATTCTGCTAATAGTGTTTAATGTGATTACCTGTATACTCTGTTTATATTCATATGTACAGTACAGTAGTGTCATTGTCATGAAAGAAATATTATAGTAAAGACTCAGAAAAAATTAAGAAAAAATCAATGAATGACAACACTTATTTCCCTATTTCTGGTTTATTAGTATTTTCAGTAAACTTTCAGATAATACAGCATATGGTACTACTGTATTAGGTTAAAATGACTGGTCTTGTACGATATACACATTGTTTCTTATTTCAACAGCCTATCGGTGCCCTTAATCCCTCACGGCGGGCATTCTTTGAGGAGCGCTACAACTCGTGGGAACATGACCAGATCCCTCCCTTCCACTATGGGACTCACTACTCCACCTCAGCCTTCACCCTCAACTGGCTCATTAGACTTGTATGTTAATCATCTTTTCTGTTTGCTTTATTTTTCCATTCAATAATAATAAAAAAGTAATACAGTTTTGAGTTGACTTATTATAGAGTATATTTTGATACCAAGGAATATGTCAGCAGTTGAATCTGAATACATACCGGTACCTAAATGTACCTGATATTACTTACAGTGCACTTATTTTGATGTACAGTAATGTCACTGCAGGTTACATATTGCCTGTGTATCAATGTTGGAGGCAGTTCATTCCCACATCTTGCAACTTTTGAGTGAGATGATATATTCTTGTATAACACACCTGTGACAGAACATGCCCTCGCCCATTCCTAGTACAAGTCCTGTCCTACTCATGGTAAAAGCCCTCTACCACTCCTGTTACAATCCCTTTCCCACTCTGGTGCAAGCCCTCTCCTACTCCTGGTGCTGGGTGAGTACAACCAAGAAGGGAATCTTTCATTTGTTGTTAAACATTCACACTAACCAGTTACTGTAACCAATGTCTCCTGCTATGATGGTCCCTATGAACTGTAAATGGGCTCTGAACAGTAATATATTTCCTTGGCACTATTACTGATAATTTTTTGTTTTGTTTTGTTTCCAGGAACCCTTCACTACCATGTTCCTATCACTACAAGGTGGCAAATTTGACCACCCTAACAGAATGTTTTCTTCGGTGGCCACTGCCTGGAAGAATTGCCAGCGAGATACCTCTGATGTCAAAGTAAGGGGAGTTAAAATCTTTTAAACTGCCATGACATTAGTGGCTATGACTAATTAATTTCTTATTTACACCTTTGGATCACAATCAATTCACCAAAAGGTATTTTTACAAGCAATAGTCACTACAGCAGTACCTCACGAACCACAGAGGTTAGGCTCTCTAAGAACTCTGTGGGTGGCAAGATTAAAGGCTTATGGGAAAAAGGGAGATAGGTTTCACGACCGCAGATAACACTCGTCAAAGCCTAAGTAAGTTTAACCCCATAGCACATCCCACTGATGCTATACTCTCCCTATACACTAGTTTGTCAATCACTTAAGCTTTCCTCTCTAATGTCATCATGTTCCTTGCCCTTATCAACGTCTTTTCACCTTTATCACTAACACACAATGAATGCTTAGGGCCCATAGTTAAGAGCAAATGCAATGTTAATACAGTAAAAAATATATGAGAGAATACAGAGTAGGACAGTACATGTGCTTCATTATTCTACAAGATCACAACACTGAGGAGAGAGGCTGCAAGAAACCATACAGCTTACAGAGCTCTCATCGGATAACCATGACTAACCCATTTAAGCATGAAAAATATTCATATAAAATAGTAAGGAAGATGATGATTCACCTGAATTCCTTCTTTAGCACATATTATCCAGTGACCCCAAAGAGCTAGATAGCTAAAGTGAGTGAGAATCAAAACCCCACAGCCTTAATAGATGGCATGTCTGTCTAATTCTTGCAGCTTTTGTAGCACTTCCTCCCTCTTTGTCTAACTGGCTTTTGATAACGAGAACCTCCAGGCTTTAGGGCAGAGCTGGTATTGTAAAATTCATCATAAAATGCCATTGTCCAGTGGAGCTTACAGCTAGGCAGCTCAGACGCCCTCACTCCACTCTCAGGTAACTGGATTTGAAAGGAGAGATGTTTTAGTCCCGATTTTAAATATGGTGGATGAAGCCCAAGCTTGGAATGTGCTGATTAGGCAAACTCAGGTTATTTAGACCTTCTACCTCAAGATGGTAAGTGTTGGACCAGATTTTCCCATTTTAGGGTGGATGGTGTGACTAGGTGGGAAGAATATGTTTTGCCCCACAAAAAATCTATATCAGACTCAATTGGGGATGGTTGGGAGAACAAAATACAGTGTTATTCAGCAAGAACTTTTACTATGAGAGCTTTCTGGTTTTAGGCTCTCTTAGAAAATAGGCCTTCAGAACCAATTTTTTGTTTATGGGTTATTTCAAACTATGGGACTAGTCTGCTTTCCATTTTTGCAATGGGTAATGTGGAAGTTGGCTGAAACATAATGATAATGATTCCTGGAATCCGATACAGTATAACTAATCCATTTCATGGGCAAGGTTTACGCATGATAATGTGACATTATGATTCATTGACTTCTAATTTAAATAGTGACTGTTGCTTTTAACATTCCCTTTTAAAGACTTTCTTGTAACAAAATTATAAATTAGTTCCAGCCACTAGTAAGGAGGAGTTTACCTAAGTTTTCAAACTCAGATTTACTGCTGTAATACAGGAGTCATTCAGTATGGGCTTGGGCATAACATGGGGTTTCAGAGTAAGTCACTTATTTCTTCGTATTCCTTAGTGATAAATACGTTTGTACTGTATACATCTTGAGAATTTTTTTTTTTTTTATTACATGCTATAAATAGTTTATAATGCAATAATTCTTTCTTGTAGGAACTGATTCCTGAGTTTTACTACCTTCCTGAGATGTTTGTCAACTGGAACCGTTATAAACTTGGTGCAACTGAGGAAGAGGGAGTAGTGGATGATGTTGTACTACCACCTTGGGCATCCTCACCAGAGGAATTCATTAGAATCAACAGAATGGTAAGATTTACCAGTACAATACTGTACTGTATATATAGCAGTTCTAAGGATGTATTCTTGGCATAAAAGAACAAGACCTCACTTTATTAACCAATAAAAATCTTAATCTTTCATTTTGATGATAGGTAGTAAACTTTTAAAGTGGTAGAAAATAATCAAAAGGGAGGAACCTTTCTAGAATAACAATATATCATGTAACAGTACAGGAAAGCTATGGTGATGGGAGCATTTTGAAGTAGCAGCCACAAGGACAGTTTATCATGAGCCATATATAAAAATAAATGTTCATGCTTATCAGCTCATTTCTTCCAAAAATTATATAGATTTGTGATGAAGCAGTGTAAGTGACCAGCATCTTGCAGAGCAGGGGAGCATCTGACTACGCTCACACTGTAATGTGGGTGTGACGTCAGTCCACAGGATGTTTAAACTGAGACACAAAATATGAAAACTTCATTTGGTGAGATCAACAGTTCACCACTTATCATATGAAGATGGGGGCAGTTTGAGGGTTAAAGTTACCACCTACCTTTATTTGCTTCTTATGGTACAGCGGTAACGTGCATAACTCTTGCCAATATGTCAAGGGTTCGAGCCTCAGCCCCCAACATACATGAGAAGGGTATATTATCCAGTGTGACCCTACCAAACACCACAGGTTTCCCGGTCCCCGGTTTCCTCCTGTACTAACACTGGATAGACCGCCCAAACGGCTAGTAAGCTAATAAGTGGTGAATATGATGATAATGTTATCTGTAATTTAAACCAATAATATTTTACTAATGGCTCCGTATCATATATTTTTTTCACAGGCACTGGAATCTGAATTTGTTTCATGTCAGTTACATCAGTGGATCGACCTCATCTTTGGATACAAGCAGCGTGGACCTGAAGCTGTGCGAGCTACTAACGTCTTTTACTACCTCACATATGAAGGCTCTGTAGATTTGGATTCCATTCAGGACCCAGTAATGAGAGAGGTGAGGATTGTTATATCACTCTTCAATATTGCTTGAGTATCACCTGTGAAATTGTGGGTGGTTGGGTGTGTTTTTTATAAATTTTCAGTTAAATTTAGCTTTTGTAACCTTTATGAAAGTCTCTCATAGTATGGTTGCGACTGGAGGTTCCATGTCCTATGACAACATCCTCATTAAGCTTACCAGGGTTGATATGTTAGTATATTTTGGGCCTACCAGTTTGTTGCAGTTTCTTGTTACCTGTTGGAGTCACTAATTACAAGTGAACTGGAAGCAACATTCATACTTTTACTCTTTACTTTTATTCTCTTCACCACTAATCGGCTCGTTAGCCGCTTGGGCGATCGGTCATGTCTGTTATACTCTGTTGGCAAGTACTGGGCATGCATTGGCTCCTCAATGTATCTGAACCTGCTCCAGTGCTGGTCAAGTCTAGTCTTGAAAGAACTCACACTCAGTGCCATCACAACACACACTGGCAGATTGTTCCAAGAGTTCACAACATTCATTCCGAAAAAGTTACCCTTCATAGTGTTCTGGGCTTGCACCTTCTTCGACCTTGAGCTGTGACCCCTTGTGGGGCGAGCATCTTCCAGCTCCAGGTAAGGACACTTGACTGAGTAGTGACCCTTGAGATGCTAATACACCTCAATTAGGTCGCCCCTTGCCGATCTGTAGTATAAGCTAGGCAAGTTCAGGCGCTCCAATCTCTCAGGGTAGCTGAGGTGCCGAAGTGCAGGCACCAAACTGGTAGCCCTCCTTTGAACATTTTCAACCAACTGACAGTCCCTAGCATATCTCTGGGACCAGATGGGGTGACAGTACTCCAGATGAGGAAGCACTTCACTCTTGAAGATTGTTACGAGGGACTGACCGTCTAGATATCTGAACGACCTTCTTATAAGACCTAATAATTTATTTGCCTCATTTACCTTCTTATCGCAATGCCCCGAGAACTTCAGCTCTTTGTCAACATACATACCTAGGTCCTTCTCACAGTCAGTCTCAAATAATGCAGTTTCTTCATCCCGTTGGAACATATGATATGCCTTCTTTCCATTGGTACGTCCCAGGTGCATCCTCTTTCACTTCGTGACATTGTTTCTTAGCAGCCATATCTTCGACAATTCTTGAAGCTCACAGAGATCTTTCTGCAGCTCTTCACAGTCTGTTTGGTTCTTAATTTTTCGAAATAACTTGGCATCATCCACAAACATTTTATGGAGGAGTGTACAGCATCACACATGTCATTTATGAAGTAAACCAGGGGTGGCCAACCTTTTGTGTGATGTGATCTACTTTTTCCACAGTTACCCTGACGCGATCTACCAGCCTAATATTCACCCATTGCCATAAAATACGCAGATTCGTAGAGATAGAGAGAGAGAGAGAGTAAACAAGTACAGGTTGTACCTCTCTAGTCCGGCATTCTGTGGTCCGGAACGATTATAGTTTGTCCAATAGGTAGATAGGCAGCTTTTTTTTTTTTTTTTTTTATCTTATCTGAATTATTATTATTATTACAGGAGTATTAAATTTTTGCCCCTCAGGCCCCAATGTGGGTCAGTGACCTATGCCCGGGTGGGCTAATCCCCTTAAAAAAAAAAAACTGCCGCGGGAAATTAAGGTTTGTTTACATCCGGCAGTTCGGCTGCTCTCTCTCTCTCTCTCTCTGCTTGTCTATACAGAGTACAACATTTAACCCTTCAATATATATGAGCAATAAATAAGTGTTGCTTTCATATTCTTATGTAGAGTAATGACGATATGTTTTCACATGTGTGCACTTACATACGCTCAGTCTCACTTTTTTTTTTACCATTAATGGTTAGCTACTTATATTGTTCCATTTATTAGCATTAAATAACATTACAGGTACTTCAAACAACCATATTAATTTTTTTACATTAATTTTACTACAGCTAAAATCAGGGTCTTATTTTCTTCAGTTTTATATGTAGAACCAATCAGTCACTGGTTTTGTAAGCTTTAACATAAACAATGCCGGCAGCCGTCTCGTCTCCTCTAATATTCCACGTATTATTAATAAATTGTATTGTTAATTTTGCACACACACACACACACACACATTAATTCAATAAAAACAAATTCAGAAACATTAATTAAAATATATATGAACAGTAAATAAGTGTTGCTTTCATATTCTTATGTAAAGTAATGACGATATGTTTTCACATGTGCGCATGTGCACTTACATACGTGATCTCTCTTTTTTCTTTACCATTATCATTAGCTACTTCTATTGTTCCATTTATTAACATTAAATAACATTACTTAAAACAACCATATTTATTTTGCTACAGCTACAACCAAGGTCTTATTTTCTTCAGTTTTATATGTAGAACCAGTCAGTCACTGGTTTGTAATCAACGAAAACAATGCTGTGTCATTTCCTCGTGTTTTAATATTCAACGTATTATTAATGAATTGTATTGCTCATTTTGCACACATAAACATTAATTCAATAAAAAAGACATTCAGTAATAAACAATAATGAATTTTTTGTACATAAGAGAAATGACGCTGTTTACACAATTATGCATGTCGTCTGCACGTTGGCGGGCCGTTCAAACCCGTCGAAATTCAAGTTTCCGCCATCAAAATTTTTATTTATTTATTTTTTTGTGTGTTCCAATAAAATACGTTAAGAATTAAAAACTCGCAAAATTTGAGAAGCTACTATACGACATTTAACCCTTCAAAGAGACCATGATGCAGAGAAAGTGTTGCTAGTGCTTCCAAGCATAAGCACAAGTCACTATCTATCCAGGAAAAGGGTGAATTTCCATGGTCCGGCAATTTCCATGGTCCGGCACTGGTCAGGTCCCGAGGTTGCTAGACTAGAGAGGTACAACCTGTAATATTTTTCAATAATTGTTATGATATATTATTAACATGACAAAATCATAAACTTACTTTACTAATGAGATGGTTAGCACTGCATGTTGTCTGCCAGCTTTGTGTAATTAGGACTGTAGGCGGTGACTGCTAGCCTCAAGCAAGCATCCAGGTGTTCGTCTGACATTGTTGATCGGTATTTGGATTTGATGTGTTTCATGTGTGAAAATGTTGATTCACAAAGGTAGGTTGATCCAAAAAATGCTGTGAGTTACATGGCACATTTTCTGACATTGGGATATTTTTCTTCACTGAGAAGGTTCCAGAAACTTTCTCCTGTTGCCCTGGATTTGATCTGAAAATAATTTTTAAGCTTCAGAAGCTCATTTTCGACTTCAGATATGTCCATGTTAAATACTGATGCCATTCTAGATGCAATATCTTCAATATTTGTGATTTTACCAAATGGAAAACACATATATGTTGCAACAAGTTCTATTGTTGCTATATCTTGAAACTGTCTGTCAAAATATGAGGCAAGGTTTTGCACCTGTTCAATATATCGAGCACTGTCAAACTGGTCACAGTCTTTTCCTTGGTTTTCTAGTTCAGATATCATATTTCTGAAGTTTCGTAGTTGATGTTGATGCAGCTGCGAAGACACTAGTTTTAGTTTCTGCTTGAAAGCAGCCACAGGACTAATCATGTCAACTATAGTTTTATCTTTCCCTTGCAGATCTAAGTTTAGTTTATTCAGCATAGCAGTCATGTCAACTAAAAAAGCTAAATCTAACAGCCACACTTCGTTGTGATCAAAAGGCCAATCTTTTGAGGCCAAAAAAGAAGTTAGGAAACCTATCATCACTCCTGTACAGGGCAATGAATCCAATGATTCGGCCAGCCATTGCAGGTGTTCCATCAGTTGTTATAGATACGAGCTTACTCACTGGCAACTGTGTACTGTTAACAAAATCACTGAAAGTCTGAAATAAATCTTCATCCCGAGTTTTTCCTTTTAATTGTAGAATTTTCGGCAGTTCCTCTTTGGTACTCTTTTCTTTAAACACCATTCTCATGAAAATACATAATTGTGATGTATCGACCACATCAGTAGACTCATCAAATTGTAATGAAAAGAACACACACTCACATATGTCTTTATTCAGTTGTTCACACAAATCCTCAGCCATGAATTCACAGTGCCTCATGACAGTGTTTCTTGATAACTGAACATCCTTAATAGAAAACAGTGTTTCAGACTTATTTTTGAAATTTTCAAACAACGAATATGCTGCTTCTAAAAAGGCCTCTTTGAATATTTTTCCATCTTGAAATGTTTTTTTATGCTTTGTAAGTACTCGACTCACCCTGAATGATGCAATGGTTGCTACCCTTGATTTTGAGCTCGCTTCTATAAAAAGAGTTTGTTGTGCAGTAAGCTGTGATTTCAGTTCATGAACTTTCCTCTTTCATAGCTCACTTTGGGGCGGGAAATCATTATCATACTTCTTGTGAAAACTTTTGAAATGCCTTTCAGGATTTTCTTTCTCAGCTAGAGCTGGAGACGCATGCCAGATCAAGCACAGACACTTCAAATTATTCATGGTAAAAAAATAGTCTTCTTCCCATTCATTGTGAAAATGGTAAATTTGGGTATTTTTAGTACTTGGTCCTGAACTCATTTTTGGTTCAGTTGATGGCCAATAACCTATAATGTATTTGGAAAAGAATAAGTCATACGTGAATATTAGAATTACATTTTTCCATGACTTTTCCTACATGAATATGAGAATTACTAACCTAACAGCGTAACGTTCTTAACTTTTTTTTTATAAGCAATTGTCATCGGCTAGTGTGGACACTTCTGTCTACTCTAGGGTTGCGGCGAGAACTGTCGCTAAGATAAAAAGTCAGTAATTCTTGTAATCACCCAAGACTTTTCTATAACAAGAGGCAACACCTCACACTTCCAAGTATTGCAGATGACTGAAAATCACTGCATTGTTGGTGACAAGTGTGTAGGCTCGCTGGGCAAGGTTGCCAAATATGATTCTCTCTCTCTTTACTTTTGAGAAATACCTGCCTAGTTTGAGCCTACAACTGATGACAACTTGCTGATTAGTTTCCTCGCCAGGAACCAGCCAGTACCGGCCCGTATGAACGCGAACACTTCCTAACAGGTTCCGCCACACACAGCATGGCACAGTCGAAGTTTTTTTGTATGTATCGCTCTGATGTGTCCATAATGATGATCTATTCCCAGAAAGAAATCTAAACAAATATAATATCCCAATGATTATGAGTAAAATTTGAAAAGGATTTTTGTATGGCAGCTTAAGAAAGATGGATCATTAAGTTTAACTTTGCCATGCGATCGACTAGAGAAGATCTTGCGTGTCGATCGCGATCGACAGGTTGGCCACCCCTGAAGTAATCAAACAACAGCGGGCCCAGTACATTGCCCTGTGGCACCCCACTTGACGGGTACAGCTGATGATTTCGTGCCATTAACCACCACACACTGCTTGCGGTCATGTAGAAAGTCTTCTATCCACGCCACGGCATCACCCCAAATCCCGTTCCCTTCCAGTTTAATTGTCAGCCTCTCATGGGATACACTGTCAAAAGCCTTGGCAAAATCTAGGTACGTATATATTGTCGATTTTACCACCCTGTTCCAGAATATGGGTCCAAATATCCAATACCTTCAGTAATTGTGTTAAACAGGAACTCCCCAGCATAAAACCATGTTGGCATTCCTTTACAAGGTTGTTTCGTAGATGTTCCATCTCGGCATTTATGATAATGCTCTCGAGTACTTTCCATAAAATGCTGGTCAGGCTCACCGGCCCATAGTTGTTTGTGGAGTGACTATTGCACTCCTTGAAGATAGGACTCACATAAGCCATTTTCCAATCACTGGGGACTTTTTGTTCATCCAGGCATTTACAGAAGAGGATCTTCAGGGGCTTGACAAGCTCATTGCACAACTCTCTTAGCACTTTGGGAGGCACCATGTCAGGGCTGGGCTTCTTATGAACCTTTAGCTTGGACAGTTTATTTCTTATAACCTCTTCTGTGAACACAATGTGGGTCCGTGCTGTGTCGAACCGTCTGTCCTCAAACTCAGGAAGGTTAATTGCATCCTCTCTTGTGAACACCGAGGAAAAGAAGCTGTTCAATGCCTCAGCTTTGTCCTAGTCAGAATCTGCATAACTACCATCTTCAAGCCTCAGGTCTGATACTCCTACTCGCACCTTAGCTTTCGTCTTTATTCAAGACATCTTCAGAGGCAGCTGAATTACAAGGAATGAGAGAGGCTTAAGTACACAGGGTGACCTTACTAAACATGAGGTCAAGTCATAAATATGACATCCACTAATCCGCACACCAACACCACCACACACACAAAGGAGCTTAAGAGAAAGGGTGACGTAACTAGTCATGTTATTGATTTTCCATTTTCTTGTGTAAAGTAAAGGGGGTTCCCGGGCTACAAACGGGTTCTGTTTCCGAGGACGTTCTTAAGTCGGATTTGTACTTAAGTCAGAACACATTTCCCTTCATGGCACTGTTGCTGACCTTGTTTCTCCCCTCACAGGCTATTGAAAACCAAATTCGAAACTTTGGACAGACTCCATCTCAGTTACTGATGGAGCCTCACCCACCTCGCTCTTCAGCTATGCATTTGGTGAGTATTTTCTGCACAGAACCTTTCCGACTCAATATTGTACAAAACATTTGTATATAAAAACAAATTTTACCTGCACCAGTGTGCTGAGTCAGTTTGGTGTGTTTCTTTTTATGTTATTGATATGTTTGGTTTCAGATGTTATTCAGTAATGTATGTGAAAAGAAGGCTTCATATTGTGTATTTTACATTATTTTATACATCTGTGTGATATCAAACTGTTAAATCAAAATTATATTACAGCTAAGTCATAGTTATTAATGGAAATTCATATTACCTTGTATAACAGATGTATAGTATTTTGCTGTGTTGATTTATAAATTGTATGCCCCAATCTGCTGTGTCTACTGTGTGTTATTATTGTCAGGAGTTGTCCAGTAGCAGGCATGTACTGTATCTTCATATATTCCATATGTATAAAAGATGATGATAGAGTATTCATGTTGAAGATTTTGCAAGGAACATTTCTGTGCAATTCTTTGTCATCTGTGTCTTGTACCAGGTGATATGTTCTGCTTCTCATTATACCTGTGATTCTGTCTTTGCAGTCACCACTGATGTTCTCTGGTGTATGTGAGGACGTTTGTATGGTGATGAAGTTTGTGAGCAACTCCCCCATCTGCCATATCTCTGCTAATACTTATCCCCAGCTGCCTCTCCCTTCTGTCGTTACCCTCACAAACAATCATCATTTTGCAATCAACCGCTGGAACACCAACTACTCAGGTATTCCTGACTTGTTTTATAATTTTCAGAATGTAAATGTGTTTGCATTTACACTATCTTTATGGCATTTACACTTATAAAAGCTGAAAAAGAATATATATGCATTCGTAACTGTCATATACAGTACAATGCACTGATAACAATTTTATGTTAATTCTACTCTTTCTACATTTAATCAATAGTTTTGCTGTAATTTATCTTCTTTTTTTTCAGTCAATGTACAGAGTCCCAGCTATGCTGAAGGTAGCCAGTCACCGTCCACTCTCTTGCCGCTGTCCATGGATCCCGTCCTACGTAAGATACACCCATTATTCTGTATTCATACATTTCATCATTGTGTATACAGTAGATACATAAGAACTCCTTCTTTACTTACAGTCCCATGTACAATATATTCTAATTTCTATCAACAGGGCACACTTTTCACACATGTACCTAGACACGCTTTCGGCTACACAACACTGCTTACCAGTACACCATACAAATGAAAATTTATCAACATGACATTACATAAGAGCAATACAATTGATTGTTATTACAATGGTTATATAGATGTAGTGCAGCATAATTATTAGATGCAAGCATCAAACAAGTTACAAAATTAACCCACAGAACAAGCTGCCTCGGGCAACAGCAGTAGTCAGCAGCAGAAGCGTCACCTGGGAGACAACTTCAGTCAGAAGGTTCGCATGAGGAGCAACTGCTTTGTAACAACTGTAGACTCTCGCTTTATCATTGCCTGTGGCTTCTGGGACAACAGCTTCCGTGTGTTCTCTACAGAGACAGGTTGGTACTAAATACTACTCTCTGATTAAGATAATTTATTTTGAGAAGAATCTATATTTACAGTATATCATTTTTTATGCATGCTGTTTTAAGGATCACTAAAGCGCGGTTGGTAACACTAGACCCCAACTCAAATGAGTAACCAGGCACTGTGTGGGGGTTGTTAATGTCTGTTGTGTGAACAGAGTCAGTTCCTCTTGCCCTGTCCAGACTATAGATTAAGTAAACCTCTGGATGCATGTAAAGAATTTCTAGTTTTATCTATATCAGTATTGGGATAGCACTCTTGGCTAGCAACTCTTACGACAGATCTCTCCTTGTGGCCAAGCAAGTTTGCTTATGTGTTATTTGTTGTAATTGGTACCTAACAGTCCCATTGTCATGTCAAGCTCTTTGACTAGGTGCCTCCTTTTCACTTGGAGTGTGCCATACTGTACTGTAAAGTAGGAAGTGGCTATAATTATATTACTTGTTTATTATATGCATTTTAATGGGATGTATTATGTAGAGGCATTGTCTGAACGTACAGGTACATAAAGTTTTAGTGCTTACTCTAATTTAGAAACCATTGAGCATGATTTAACTAAACTTTATTCAAATATACCGTACACTGTAATGATTCTATGCATTGCAGACAATGTACATCTCCTTGCATCAGACATCAAGATCACAGATGAATGCATCTACTATTTAATTGTAATGATCGATGTGTTGTGTGCCAGTAGAGGCGCTCTTTTCTTTGTAAGGCAGCATTTAGAACTGTCAATTAGTTTTGGAATATCACTTGGTGTTCCTCCTTATTATTGAATATGGACAAGAAATTATTGTATCAGTAGTACTATACATGTATATTAGCATAATGATAATTTTTTTTTTCCACAGCTAAAATTTTCCAAATAGTGTTTGGTCATTACGGTGTTGTGACCTGCTTGAGCCGTAGTGAATGCAATATTACCAGTGACTGTTATGTGGCATCTGGCTCCCACGATTGCACTGTTCTCCTCTGGCACTGGAATGCACGCACTCAGGTACCTTCATCCATGAAACTGTGATATATCGGAATAACTTTTAAGTAAAGTTTGAGTGGAATAAGCTAAGCTCCCTACCTCCTGTGTAGAAGGGTGACTTTCCATGATATTGATAGATGGGATATAGATATATGTGTAGACTTGTAAGACAGGGCTGTTTCAGTGTCATTAATAAGTTTATATAACCAATTACAGTATACGAAACACTTGGTTTGGCACCACTGCTTTGTAGTCTAAAATCACAAATTATATTAAAGCTTCAATACTACATTTAAATTATTAAGAAAGAAAGTCCCCTTGCAGTGAGATGTCTTAATCTTGGCAGTCATCATTTCTTTTATTTATTTGAAATGTAGGTCATATAGATACTGTACCTATATTGTACTGTACAGTATTTCATAAAGTAACAACCATAAAACTTGTCTGATAGCTGACCCACAAAACAGTACCAGAAACTTGAGAAGATGAAAGCTCTCACCATGCAGTACAAGATCATAAAGATTAACAGAGATTTTGATGATTATACTATGCTGTATCTATGATTAATATTTTTTTATGTTCCTTTGAAAAGGACATTATATACATGGTAGTTCTGCTGTTTCATATGAAATGTAATCCAGACTTTGTACAGTATTTTTGCATTACTCCTGAAGATATTTCTTGATGTCATCCAAATGGATGAAGCAAGCATGGACACATAAGTATTGAACTTTTGTTTGGCTTGCTCTTAAGTATTGTAAGTATGGTAATGGACCATTGTGTTTACAGATGATCATGGGTGAGGGTGACTCCCCAACACCCCGGGCAACACTCACAGGTCATGAAACCGAGGTCACAGCTGTTGTCATTTCTGCTGAGCTCGGCCTTGTTGTCTCTGGCTCTAAGGGTAGGTATCACCAGTGACGTACCTAGTACAGTACTTCATTTCATTTTACTATTATCAATGTTCTTTGTAATGAACATATAGTAGTTAGTGTAAGGTTCAGTATAGTACTTCAGTTTTCCTATCTTTAAGGTCATGATTCTGTTTTCACCTCTTACTGTGGTTATTGTAGTCATAATCTCTTGAATCATTTTCCTCAACATTTTTTCCCATCAATAGCTTAAACTCTTCTTTCAGTGTTTGCAAATTGACTGCAGTTGGATGTGACAGGAATAGTGACCTCACTTCATGTATTATTGTTTTTGTCATGCGTTTGAGGACAGATGGTTCGACACAGCACTGACCCACATTGTGTTCACAGAAGAGGGTATTAGAAATAAACTGTCAAAGCTAAAGGTCCATAAGAGTCCCGGCCCTGACTTGTTGCATCCTAGAGTGCTAAGAGCTTGCCGATCCCCTGAAGATCCTGTTTTGTAAATTCTTGGATGAACAAAAGGTCCCCAGTGAATGGAAAGTGGCTTATGTGAGTCCTATCTTCAAGAAGGGCTATCGTCACTCCACGAACAACTATAGACCAGTGAGCCTGACCAGCATAATATGTAAAGTACTTGAGAGTATTATCAGAGATGCTGCAATGGAACGTCTATTACGAAACAACCTCGTAAATGATTGCCAACACGGTTTTATGCCGGGGCGCTCCTGCTTAACACAATTGCTCAAGGTATTGGATATTTGGACCCATATTCTGGAACGGGGTGGTAATATCGGCAACATATACCTAGATTTTTCCAAGGCTTTCGACAGTGTACCCCACGAAAGGCTGAAAATTAAACTGGAAGGGTACGGAATTCGGGGAAATGTCCTAGCGTGGATAGAAGACTTTCTACATGACCGCAAGCAGTGTGTGGTGATTAATGGCACGAAATCATCATCCGTACCTGTCACAAGCGGGGTACCACAGTGCAGTGTATTGGGCCCGTTGTTGTTTATTTGTTTCATAAATGACATGCCTGATGCTGTACACTCCTCCATACAATGTTTGTCGATGGTGCCAAGTTATTTCGGGAAATCAAGAACCAAGCGGACTGTGAAGAGCTGCAGAAGGACCTCTGTGGGCTCCAAGAAATGGCTGCTGAGATTCAATGTCACGAAGTGTAAGAGGATGCACCTGGGGCGTACCAATGGTAAGGAGGCTTATCATATGTCCCAACGGGATGCAGAAACTGCACTATTTGAGACAATGTGAGAAGGACCTAGGTGTGTATGTTGACAATGAGCTGAAGTTCTTGGGCCATTGCAAGAAGAAGGTAAATCAGGCAAATAAATTATTGGGTCTTAAAAGAAAGTCGTTCAGATATCTAGACGGTCCGTCCCTCGTAACGATCTTCAAGAGTGAAGTGCTTCCGCATCTGGAGTACTGTCTTCCCGTCTGGTCCCCGAGATATGCTAGGGACTGTCAGTTGGTTGAAAATGTTCAAAGGAGGGCCACCAGACTGGTGCCTGCACTTCGGCACCTCAGCTACCCTGAGAGATTGGAGCACCTGAACTTGCTTAGCTTATACTACAGACAAGCAAGGGGTGACCTAATTGAAGTGTATAAGCATCTCAAGGGGCACTACTTAGTCGAGTATCCTTACTTGGAGCTGGCAGATGCTCTCCCCACAAGGGGTCACAGCTCAAGATTGAAGAAGCCACAAGTCCAGAAAACTGTAAGGGCAAACTTTTTCGGAGTGAGAGTTGTGAACTCTTAGAACAATCTACCAGAAAGTGTTGTGGCGGCACCGAGTGTGAGCTCTTTCAAGACAAGACTTGACCAACACTGGAGCAGGTTCAGGTACATTCATTAGCCGGTGCATGCCCAGTACTTGTCAACAGTGCGTAACAGAGACGTGACCGATCGCCCAAACAGCTAACGAGCCGATCAGTGGTGAAGAGGACAAAACAAGATTTACTCATTTTGTTTGATATACTCTGATATTTTTGTCATATAACACCATCGACCTCCATTCTTATACTGGATGATGACAAATGATCTTTCCTATTTTAAAGTTTATTTTGAAAAATCTGACAAAGCTACAGTGAAAAGCAAAATATGGTAACAAGAACTCAGTTTTATTTTCAGGCTACAAAAGTTCAACTTAAGGTCCTTTTGTGATTCTGTAAACATCAAAGTGGTATTCTGTTTCTCTCCATACATTTTGTAGCATATAATACAGTAAACCCTTGATAACTCAGCACATATGGGGCTCTGGCCTTGCCAAGTTATCCCAAATTCCGACTTATCGAGGCACATTCCCCCCCCCCCTACAAAAGTACAACAATAGAAAATTTTCTACCCATATATGTGAACATGTATTTACTAACTGTAAAACGTAACACCAGCACTGCAGGCAAGAAATGAATTATCATAGTAAGAGACACAGATGCATGGTAGGTGACACAGAGGTTTGGTAGGTGACACAGAGGCATGGTAGGTGATGCAGGTGGCCAGATATGCCAAGATTTTCTCAGATAATTTTATATATCTCTGCTTTTCCCAAGTTTTTCTAATACATTCCGAGAACATATCCATGCCGAATTATCGAGGGTTTACTGTAATGAACTTTTCTAGCAGGTTAACATAACATTTCCTTCAAAGATTCTAAATATGCTGGTATGGGTGAAACAAAAACTTCATTTTTTTTTACTTAACCCCAGAGGAAAAAATCAAGGAGGCTTAGATTGAACAATTGACACACACAGCCAAGAAGTACCCCCACCCCCCCTACCCAACCCAACAATCAAGCAATGCTTAGAATTAGGGATATCATTTGTAGTCACCAAGTACTATAAGTCATGTAATTCTTTTGACCTCACTACAGGTACTACATGCACTTTTGTTTTGTTATCTAATATCACTCTCCTTACTTAATGTACCCTGGTTCTACCAATTTCTCCTAATGCTCATATCTTAGTACAGTACAGTACAGTACAGTACCTTGTCTTCCTTCAGCTGCATTTTACTTTACATTTTCAAAAGGGACGAAGAAACATCATTAACTGAGACCAAATGTGAAAAGGACCTGGGTGTGCATATTGACAATGATTTGAAGTTCTCGAATTACTGTATATTGTAAGAAGCCAAATAAGCTAATAAGCCTTTTATGAAGGGCATTCACATGCTTAGATGATTCATCCCTCTTCAAAGGTACTATCACACCGTCTGGTCCCTGAGATATGCTAGAGACCATCAGTTGATTGAAGATGTCCAGAGGAGGGCCACCAGACTGGTGCCTACACTCCAGCATCTCGGGTACCCAGATAGATTATAATGCATACAGCTGCCAAGCTTATACTACAGTACTGTATAGGCAAGCAAGGGGTGACTTAATATAAGTCCATAAGCACATCATAAGAATCAAGTTATCATACCTGGAACAAGCAGATACTCACCCCACTAGAGATCACAACCTCAGGTTAAAGAAGCCACAAGTTAAAAAGATTGTAAGGACAAACTTTTATGGAGTGAGAGTTGTCAACTCTAGGAATAACCTGCCAGAGAGAGTTGTGATGGCTCCAAGTACAGATACATTTTGGAGCCAGTGCATGTGCAGTATTTGCCAACAGTGTGTAACAGAAATGTGTTTGACCACCCAATCATTGGTGAAGAGGATAAAGTAAAATTTGCCCTTTTCACTTTTTAAGTTCACTTTCCCTCTAAATTCCTTGTCCTCAAGTTTTCATACTTTGTCCTTTTTTTTTCCCAGATAATTTTACCAATAAAGAAAAGACAATATTTTAGAAATTGAAGATTTAAAGAACACAGCAGTACGGTATAATAATTTATTTTTATCCTTTATGGTTGTTATGTGAGAAACAGGAACTGAATCTTCACAATGCCTTAAGTGTTTTACACCAATTATTTGGTTTACAAAGTTCATACACCAGAGTTTTCCATCAATCCCTTTCTCCATCATTTTTGCCACCCAAGTTAGAATTTTTTTTCTCATATTTTCAGATGGACCTGTTCTCATCCACACCACCTCTGGGGACCTGTTGCGATCTTTAGAGGCACCAGAAGGCTTCCTCTCCCCAGAAAATGTTGCTCTTTCAAGAGAGGGACTAATTGTTATTAATTACGATCGAGGACATGTAGCTGCTTATACGATGAATGGAAAGAGACTTCGCCATGAATCTCACAATGACAACATTCAAGTTAGTAACCTATTTTCTCCAAACTTGAAAGAAGTGGTTATGGGAATAAGCAACTTTTTATGTTGCGTGCGTGCAAGCTTTATCATCAGAAATCATGGAGGATGTAGTAGATGTACTGTACAGTATAGCTATATTTAGAATGTGTAGGTGACTTTTACCTATTTCATAAAGATCATTAAAGAATGTGGATTACTCCCCGTATTGTGAGAATGCTGAAAAATCTTTATTATGTCAGTTCAAAGCTCTAGCACTCCTTAACAATGGTTCCCATAAATGTTGGTTTAGGATAGTTAACATTGTTCTATTACAACTACTACTTCTTGTTGTGGATTATCTGCAACTTTGTAGTTAGTCATATTTATCTTTAATGACTTTCTTCTGTTTACAGGAACATTTATAGTCCAAATGGTTTAGTTAAAACCTTTTGGATAAGAATTGCTATACATTAGAGTACTTTTACAAGTATTAATGATGTTGACATAGGCAATGATGCAATACCTAATAATGTTCATTACAGTAGACCCTTGCCATTCGCGGGTTTGCTAATCGCGATTTTGGTGATTCACAGTACAGTATGCAGATGGTGGCTATGGTGGCTAGCTTGTGAGCCTTTTCCAGCAGCGCAACGAGTCACCCCACGTGGCCACAGCTTCTACTTTCCTTCTGTTCGTGCTCAACCATTGCTTGTGATGCAGCATCTCGTGTTGTACTCTCAAAACTTTAGTGTTTGTGTGAAATGGCCGCTATGAGTCTGACTAGTGTCAATGCTAGTGATGCTAGTGGAGTGAAATGTAAAAGGCAGAAGTCAGTGATGACCCTGACAAAGAAAGTTTAATTATTAGATAAGTTAAAAGATGGGATGAGTGCTGCTGCAGCTGGTCGGTTGTTTGGTAGTATAAGTTGCTATTCTTGGTTTTGCCTATTTGCGCCATTCCTTGGAACCTGACTTCCACGAATAACAAGGGTTTACTGTTTTTAAAATTTGTTGTGAAGGTAGTCCACACTATATGCATTCCCACTACAGTATACGTACATATTTTTCATATAAAAAATTTCCTTGGTATACAATTTTTCATGTTGTGCAAGTTTCAAACATTGCACCCAAGCTACTTTGAACTGTACCACTCTACTAAATGGCTCACAGTGCAGGTACTACTGGTATTCTTTTGCCAACCAAGGAGATCAGATCAGGGACCTGTCCTAAGTACAATATGAAATGACTTCTGTTGTTGGTAATTTAATAAAACAAAAAATTCCCCAAGCCCAAAAATATATGTGGAAAATGCCCATACAGGTACCTGTTGGCCTTTTTTGACATTGTTGCAATGGCAAGCAACATGTATGTATAATATGTATTGCTATAAATCCCAGAGCCTGAGTGTAGGTCTGGCCCAGGACCATTGTACATCATAGCAAAGTGGTGAGACTTTAAACTTTTTTCGCTTTCTGGTTTCCTTGCAACTTAATTTTACAAGCTGAAACTGTATTATTCATTGCAAATGTATAATATTTCATCTTCATTTGGGCTGGCTTGGGCACCTAACCACCATTTATAACATAAGCATTTTGGGATTCTGCATTGATTTATTGAGTTAATATTTGTTTTACTTATAATGTATATGGTAATACAAGTATCCCTGTTAGCCAGAACAATTGGTGCTGAGCACTTCCGAGTATGAGAGATTTCCGGGTAACCAAGCGACTTTCTCAAACCCAGAAAAATACCCCATCCCCAGAAATATTTCCAGTTACTGGATAAACTTTCCGAGTGTCTTGCACAGAAACACTAGCCCACATCCTCATAATGTTTCTGTGTGCTGGTCATGAGACCCACTAATCCCCTACCCAAGAAAGGGTGACCTGACATTCCATCAGAAAGTCCGTAATATGAGTAATACTTCCACCTGACATCGAGTCAGATCTGGTCTGTGGGGTTCTGATTGTTTGGTTCACACTCAGGATGGAATGGAGAAAGGAAACTCACGATGTGCTCTCCATATACATGTTGTATTGGATGTACAATGCAGCTTGGTGCTGGGAAGGCAGCATGGTTACAAGCGTGATGTAGAGAGAGCTGTTTGGTGAGGACGCTCAGAGAAGGACAGCTTGTGGGTCGCCATGCTCGCCGGCAGGAGAGAGGACCGCCAGGCAGGCGGAGGAGGAGCGAGGGCCGCCAGGCAGCTGCGGAGGAGGTGTTGCTGGCTGGTTGGTGTCGGTAGAAAGAGAGTGATCACCACGAGGTCAGGTCTTAAATAGCGGGGATAGGCGTGGCTTAGTAGTTGACCCCTGCTCCGTGATGTATGGCGGCGCTGGTTGACCTAAACCACGAGGCATACACTGGGAAATTGGTGGGGTCGGCTAGGCAGCGACAAACAGCGTTTGTAGGGGAGAAATCCACTACAATACTCCCCCGTCCCTCCAGGCGGTGTAGGAGACTTGTTGTCTGCAGAGTTGCTTAGCACATGTGAGGCAGAACGGGCGGTGCGTGCCTCATGTGAGACAACGGCGATGGCGTGGATGAGCCGGTCGCTGGGGACAACTGTCTAGATACACAATATCTGTGGGAGTAGAGAGGGAGAATGAGGGTGTGTGGAGGCGATGAATGTTGTGCCTCCCTCACGGCAGGTACAGAGTCGTCAGATGCGCCTGCTGGGGTGTGTGGGCCTGGGTCAGGAGCAGGGGCTGCGTCAGCAGAAGCGGATGAGGGCTCGTGACAGCAGCTGGGTCCACGACAGCAGCAGGGTGCAGGACATTAGCAGGGAGTACCTGAGGGAGAAAAGAGGGGTGTGTGGGTCCGCACTCAGGAACAGAGGCCGCGTCAGGGGCGGCAGGGGTTACTGCTGGGCCGGAGTCGGCGTCTGAGGCAGGACGGGTGTGCTGGGGTCGGTAGGACGTGGTGCAGAGCCGATGAGAGCTGCTTCTGTGTGGATAAGCCAGTCTTCCATGTTGCTTGAAGACTGGGAGCGTGATCAGTTTCTCCTCCATCCTGTGTGAGTGCGAATCTCCGGGAGTCGCCATTTGTGGGGTTCTGGTTGTTTGGTTCACACCCAGGATGGAATGGAGAAAGGAAACTCACGATGTGCTCTCTATATACATGTTGTATTGGATGTACAATGCAGCTTGGTGCTGGGAAGGCAGCATGGTTACAAGCGTGATGTAGAGAGAGCTGGTTGGTGAGGACGCTCAGAGAAGGACAGCTTGTGGGTCGCCATGTTCGCCGGCGGGAGAGAGGACCGCCAGGCAGGCGGAGGAGGAGCGAGGGCCGCCAGGCAGCGGCGGAGGAGGTGTTGCTGGCTGGTTGGTGTCGGTAGAAAGAGAGTGATCACCACGAGGTCAGGTCTTAAATAGCGGGGGTAGGCGTGGCTTAGTAGTTGACCCCCGCTCCGTGATGTATGGCGGCGCTGGTTGACCTAGACCACGAGGCATACACTGGGGAATTGGTGGGGTCGGCTAGGCAGCGACAAACAGCGTTTGTAGGGGAGAAATCCACTACAGGTCCCTCCCCAAAATACTTGAGCTTTTGTCTTTATTCCCAAAGCTGGAATTTTCTTTTAAATTCCGGCTTTGGGAATGCTTTTTCGAGCAAATTTCAATTCCGGCTATCGGAGAGTTCCGGGTTTGAGGGATTCCAGCTAATGGAGATATTACTGTACCTGTATACTGAGTCCTGTACTACTGGTACTTTATTTGCTTTATTCTACTTTGTAAAATAATTTTCTGTACTAAATTATTTTACGAAACTTACGTACACTAACTCCAGAAAGTATCTGCAAGGTTGGGTCCAATGGATATCAAAATGAATACTGTACTGCGACTCCTGTTATCTCAGTAGGGTTGTTAAAATCCTTCATCTGTTGTGTCGTATTGTCAAGCAAAAGTTTTTACAGATACTTTTGTAGTGAGTGTGCAGTATTTGTATGATTCATTATTTTTTAGTGCTTCTGAAATATTTAAACTAATAGCAACTGTCTCTACAGTGTGTGATCTTGAGCCGTGATGGAGAATACATGATGACTGGAGGAGAGAAAGGCATTGTTGAGGTGTGGCGGACATTTTCCCTCGCTTTGCTCTACGCTTTCCCAACGTGTGACTCTGCTATTAGGTCTCTTGCACTCTCTCATGACCAGAGGTAAGATGTTTTTGTATAGAAAAGCAGCTATTCTCAGTTAGACATCAGTGGTTATGTACAGTAGTGGATGGCCTTCTGCTGGACTTAATACTGACTGCCAGGGTTGATGAGTGGTACAGGGGGTACCTGGGTTATGAACTATTACTGTTCCGTTCCTGAGGACATTCTTAAGTCGGAAATGTACTATCGTGGACAAAAGTTCGCTCCTTCCCAAACTGAAGCAGTATCGACCCGCACAGCACACCCGCACCAGATAACAATCAGGGTGAGTCAGTTTGGAGACTCATTCCCGTGTCTCAGTTTCACTACAGGGAGCGAACTTTTGTCCACGATAGTATATCGGTGGGAACATGTACTCTATATGCACTATACAGTATATTTAAGAGAAAAGAAGAAATTGAATGACAAAATACAGTAAAAGAAACTAAAAATTAAAGTTTAACACTTACATTGAAACCTGGGACTGGCTTGCATGTAGAGAAGGGTATTTGTAGGAATGACAGAGGCTTTATTGAGATGGTTGAACTGAAACTTTCTTCTTTTTGTCATAAATCTCTCTGTAGCATTGTAGATGTTCAGTAATACCTCTATGAATCGTGGTGAATCTTCCTGTTCAAATTTAAACAATCCTTCTTCAATAAGCCTGAAACCATCTGTCATTTCCTTTGTATTGAATCACTTTGGTTCTGGAGTTTCAGCTTCCTTAACATCCTCTTACAAATTTGCTTTTCCAGTTCAATCAGGTCTCATGAGACTCAAACAACTGTGTGACATCATCCTCATGAATATGAAGCTGGAGTTGGTTCCTAAGGTCTACCACTGTCTATTTCACATCCCCAACATCATTTTCAAAGCCCCTGAAATCGTGGACAAACTGTGAGCAGTGTTTCTTCCAAACACCATTTGCCTTTACCTTGAATCGGTTAAACCAGCCCCTACTAGCAACAAAATCTTCCCCATCACTTTCACCACCACACTTAGCCTTCAAGTCAGCATGCAAGTTTCTTGCTTTTTTCTGATTCAAGGCTAGACTTAGAGGCAAATCTCACTGATTTTGATCTTCCACCCATATTACTAACAATCTTAACATTTTAATTAACAGTCCTCTTCTTTGTTTTGTTATCACAGTTGAGTGCATTTGTGTAGTTTGTCTTTCAAATTTCTTTTGACCATCGACCAATTGAAGCCCAACATTTTACCAATGACTGAGGATGTTTTGCCTTTTTCAGAACGCTTTATTAATTGGGTGCACTACTATCACTTGCATCGGGTATGATAAGGGCAAAAAAAAGAGAGTTAATACGCAAAAAACAACAGTTTGCACTTGATCATGTACGTAATGTGGTTGGGTGACATTTTATTACCTACTCACCGCTCCGCCTCGCCTCTACACCATGCAAACTAGTTCTCGTACATAAATACTACAAACCAGTTGTACTTATGTTGGACTCTTAAAATAAGTGACTTTATGGGACCCCTTTTGTATCAGCGGATGTCCTTAAGTAGGATTTTCGTAAGTCGGAGACCCCCTGTACTCATTGTATCTTTTCTGAATTCTGAACATAGTTTATAATACAATACAGTATAGTCTGGATTTACGCGGTATTGGTTAACGCGTTTGGTCATTTACGCGGCGAGTCGCTGGAGGGTTTAGATGCGCCGCGCCATTTTGGATTCAAGCGGCCCAGGCGACCACAAGCAGCGCGAGCAAGGTTGCGCAGTATGTCGCTGTTGCTTTATCAGTGACGTCATATGACGTATCGGACTGTGATTGGGCCACGCATCCTTACCACCCACGCATTCCCTCCACCGCTAGCTGTGATTGGTCTAATGTAACATGACATGCCCTGCCACCAGAGGGTAGAAGTCGCTGACCTAGCAGGGTCTGTCTCATTGTTCTCAGTTCTCCGCGTATCCAGTTCTCTCTTGTGCCCGCTATTCCCCTCACAACTCTCAATGGCTTCTGCGGGACCCCCACCACCTGAGAAAAGCATTGAATTACTTGGACCAAGCCATGATTGTGTGAAGGAAATCATCAAGTTGGGGGACAAAATTAAGCTCATCCTTAACAACGACCCAGACAAGCATCGGTATGAAGTGTCTAATAACCATCTGACGAAATTTATGGAGCCGTATATCCAGATCTATCTCGACAACATCAATGCTAGTCGTCAACGTAGTATTGAGGACTTCCTCGCCCGCAATTCACCACAACCCCAACCAGCCCAAGTCAGTGATGGTGATAGTGACGATATGGACTTCGAGAGATTTGTCTGGGAGGCCCTGCAAACCTCTGCGAGTAGTGAAAGTGAAAGTGATTCACTGGAGGGCAACTAATCTGCCCTCTGTCTCGGAACCAGCCGCCATCCACGTGTGCCGACCCAGCTTTTCTACTAATGTAAGTGTCAAAAAACCTAATATTGTTGATATTTCTCTTAATTAATAATTATGTGTGCATACCATCATAAGATTAAGATGTTATTTTTACTACAATGTACGTATTGTGTCGGCAAAAAGTGGAGTTTGGGGGTTGGCCCAGTCTCTATTTCAATTAATCCCATATGTTCTGTTATTTCATTTACGCGTTTCTCGTTTTACGCGGGCCTACACGGGTTCAATTGACCGCGTAAATCCAGACTTTACTGTACAGTGAGTTCTGCTATAACGCGTGTTTTGATAACGCGAATTTGCTCTAACGCGATTTATGAATTCGGAACAATATTTGTATAACGCGATCGCTTGTTTGCTATAACGCGATTTTTGCTTACTATTTCTCCAATTTTGTGGTATTAACTGTGAATATAGTAAAGAAGAATATCTCCAAAAAGCATTCTGATGATAGAATTCCCGGTGATTATCATAAAAGAAAGGATATAACACTTGAAGAGAAGCTTGATGTTATCGACCTCAAAATCACCCTTCTCCCCCATCAAGTTACATTCATATTTTTTCAAGGTAAAGTGTTAAATTTACTGTATGATTTCATTATTAGATATGAATGTAACATTTATTTAGACTGTGCTATCCTTTGTGTTAGGCTAACTACTAAATTTTTTCGATTTCGAGTAAACTGCACCTAACCCTATTTTCTCCATAAGCCCTGTTATTTCTATTACGCGATTTTCTATAACACGATATTTTACAAGAACACAATTATCGCGTTATAGCAGAACTACCTGTACTGTATTTAGGTCTTTGTAGGAAGTATTGTATGGAATGTTTGTTTGTCCAAGCAATTTTTTTTCACTATTCCTTGACTTTTGAATCATTAAGACACTTTATACAGGTATGCACTCCCCTTATAAGCATTTTTGCATACAATAACCAAGTTCCTCCCTCACAGGTAACGTTCACTGATGAAAGGATGTAATTACTGTCCCCTTCAAGATATGAATTTCCTTGCCTCATGCCCTGACTACTGAATTAATGAGTGTGTCATGTGCCATTAATGAGGCTCTTGTTTCCTCGTGCAAGGATGCTTATGAGACAATGAAAAAGCCTTGCATTCAGTAACAGTTGATTAAAATTCCATTATATCAGGGTGCAGCTCAAGGACAGATTTTGTTTATGATGGATTAATTATCATGATGTGGACGGACCTGTCCCCTCTTTCATGATAAGGCCTTAGAATAAACTGAATTTGAAAGATGCCAATCTATGATTGCAGGAAATATTGACAAATGGTAGAAAATGTTACTGTAACCAGTCACAAGCAAATATCATAGTATACAGCCAGGAATCTGAACTGCTGAGGTGGGTCTCAGAACTCTTTCTCTACCTACTGTATAGATGGAACTGTAGTATCTTCTATGTGTTTGGTACAGTCTGAACAGGAGTGTAGAGGCACTTTTGCTCATGACTGGGTGGGTCTTATAAAATCACCTATACTTTTCCCCAGCTCTTCTTAACACAGAAACATATGCAAGTGTTCACAAATGCATGTTCTTATGGTAGAAGGCCATTTTACTTTTCACAGTAATAATAATCTGGGATAAAGAAAGGGAAAATCCTTTCATTAATTGATGGTCAGCTTTGGGGGTGTTATTTATGTACTCCTTAACTTCAGATTGCCCCCTTATTTATTGCCAGTTTCCATTTTGTCTTGAAGTTTTTTCACACCACCTTGCTTTTTTATTTTTTCATTGGCAGCTTTCATACTTTCTATTCATTCTTGTTTCTCATAAAAGCAAGTGATAATTGTTTATCTTATGCAAATGTTATACCAGCATATAGAATTCTTAAGTAGATGGTCGTGGGTGAAATGTTTAGGGAAGCGTCATTATGTGGTCAGATTTCAAGTCTTTGAGGATATACAATAAAGTGTTAGTTACAATGAAACATAGAGGTTCATAAGACATACATATTAGCATGCAGTTTATATGTAGGGGTGATTAAAAAAAAAGGTTTCACAATTCTGAGGGTGTATTAATGAGACAAAATGTAAGGTATATGACTGAACTTAGTGTGAATACCCAATACAGTAATTTGATAGTTACAACATTTGAAATATTGAATGGGAATGTGATAAAATCTATGAAAGGAAAACGAAGCATCTAATGTTGCAAGTGCAATTTATTTACAAACGTACTGAAATCTGATATGCCCAGTACAGTATATCATTTAGAGTAAATGTTCAAAGTTCCTCCCTTCTTCCTGTATGCAGGCTTCAGAACTTCCTTCGATAGTTTGTGATTCTGTCCATATTTTTTTCCCCTAATAACCCCCCTCACATCTATTATTTGTTATTATTTTGAAACTGGGTTATGTACTGGTGGCATAAGGACTCTACTGGAAACAAGATATCCTTTGTAAAATTGACTGATATCATTTATTATTATTATGGGTTTGCAAGGTACTGGTTGGCTTTGCAAGGTACTGACTGGTGGGTAGTGTCATGGCTTTGCAAGGTACTGGTGGATAGGCTCATGGCTTTGCAAAGTACTGGTGGGCAGTGTCATGACTCTCCAAGGGTCATGACTTTGCATAGTGATTCTTTTGCAGTGGGTAACATTACATTGACTACTTTTGTTTTTCTAGATTCCTGATGGCTGGCTTATCAACGGGCTCCATTGTCGTTTTTTACATCGACTTCAACCGCTGGCACCACGAGTTCCAGCAGCGCTATTAACCCACTCGTTCACATACACTAATTGTTAAGTTGACAAGAGTGAAGCAAGAAAAGACAGACATTGAAGTGTAATGAAACAGTGCTTTAGAATTTACACACATTTTGAGAATTAAAGCAGGCTACTTGCTTGTAGCAAGTACAATGTAACCTGTTCTCTTTGTTTCTGGTTTTATATGTTTTATATATATATATATATTGATTTCATATGAAATTAATACCTGTATAGGCAGAGAGGTCAAGAAATTTTTCTAATATTACTAAAATACAGCTTTTAGAACTACAATGTTATTCATTAAAAATTGCCATTTGTCATGCTCACAAGTCTTTCTCTAACTGCTGACTTGTCATGAGCTAAGTTGAGTTTTATTGTAGGATCGTAGCGCTGACTAGTAAGTGGTTAAGACAGCCAAGCTTGCACTCCTGGCAAGTATGCAAATTGCTTTCATGTATTTTTCTTTTATGTAGCTGCCACTTTGATTTTGTGAGCACTTGAGCTTATACCAAGCAGAATTTTTTTTAACACCTAGTTGCTCATTATGCTTTGTGATAATGCAATTTTTTTTATAGCATTAGCTACACTTTGGGTTGCTATGAATCATTAATACTATATAAATATATTATGTAACAGAAATGTGGGATTTGATGTTATTTCTAAATATAGTATATTTAAACCTGACTTCGATACTGAGTTGTTGTTTTATATTTGGTTTTTGTAGTTAATTTTCACATATTCACTGTAAGATCACATAGTAGCATACTAGGCTCTGTAGTTATCACACCAAATTGTTAATGATTTATGTGATTTGTTTGAGAGCCTTTGAAATGGGGATTTGAATTCTGTGACCACCATTGCTGTTATATTTTTGGTCAGTGTCACTCCTCATTTATGGATATGAGAAATTTGAGTAAATTTCTTACTCTTGTAATGTATAAGCAGTACAGTATATAAATATATATAAATCTATATATATATAATATATGTGAAAGAGTAGTAATGACAGTCTTTTGAGATGATAGATATGATTACTGATTCAAGAGCCTAATATGTAATCCAGTAAAGCTTATTTTTCTGTAGTTGTAGGAAAATAAGTGGTCTTTGAAGCGAGTACAAGACTCGTCCTTGCCAGTCTTGTAATATATTGTGAACCAGTGGCAAAGGTTCATTAAGGCATTTGTTTACGGCAATAATTACGAAAGCCCAGGTGTTGCTTCTAGTCAGGTGTCGCTGTGCCAAAAAGGGGTCAGTCTTTTTCTATAGGAAATATCTTAATATTAAAAATAGTAATTGAACTTAAAACTGTACCAAGAATATTGATAAGCAGTTTGACTATGAACCTGATCAGAATCCAGTTGTGGTACTTGTTGATAGTATAAAAACCGTTTATAGGCCTTGTTACTTTCTAAACATTGTGGGAACTTAAAGAACAAGCAAACAGTGAGGGGGTCTCACACCTCTCAACACCCTCATTCTTCAAGTTGACTAAAGAACAGCGGCATGAAAACTGCCTTGAGTAATGAAATGAATCCGAATCACTTCACATTTTTACGGAGACAATTGGTACTATTTGTATATTGTGGAATCAGGATTACAAACTATAGTTTAAGTGTGTCAGCTTGTATTTTTAATAATTTTATTTTTTCTGAATATGATGCATGATGGAAATATATAGGGAGTGATTATCTTGTGGACTGCATTTGTGATGGATATTTCTTAAATATGGTTGAGATTTCCTACGCACTTTTAGTTTAGCATGGAAGAGATAGGTACACAGGTAGATTAAGTTAATCAAAAATATAATTGATAAATGTTTGCATTGTAGCAAAATTTGGGAAACATTTCTTACACTAAACTATAGCTATCTGTACAGTAAGCATTTTGTGCATTTGCAGCTTAAGTATAATTTCTCCCTTCTAAGACAGAAGGTTTTATCCTACAAATTTTTTATTCTCAGATTTATATGAATTATAAAGATGGGTTTACTGTAGAAATCACAGCTCAAGACCCCCACTCCCCCGGCAAGCTTGGCACTGAAACTAACGGACCATTCCCTCCATCAGTTGTGTTTGTGATAGCTGCTCAGAACGTTGTATATAGTGATTACCAAGCTCACTGTCCATGTAATATAAAGCAAATGTTCCACAAATGAGGACACGTCTCTTTCTAGTGGTTATCATGTGCTTGAGTGACTTGTATACATTAAGGAACTGCATCTGGCACTAATTTTAAATTACTGCCACACTGCAGTCATGTTGTTTGATATGAATATTTAGAATTAGCTTATCATTATTTTGGCAAAAGTTAAACTATTGATCGTACACTTACCATTGTCAGTTTTTTACAGATTTGTCACGGTACACCTTTTTCCATGTAAATGGATGTGCACTTGGAGAAATACCTGACTATTTACCTAATTGATTGTGGCAATTTTGCTATTTTCATTTACTTAGCGAGCCTTGATTTTTGCTTTGGTAGTTGAATGCAGTGGCATTTTATTTTTTATTTGATCTTTTTTTATCTTTTTTGCTTGTTTGGGCTCTGTGTCATTGGTGATTAACAAAGCCTGCATTTTTAGGGGTCAGGATTTGTTAACCTTCAATTACAGCCCAAAAATTGTACTGCAAGAGTGTTGGTGATTACTGTCCAAGGTCTGTAGACTTGTAAAGGCTATTATGAGAAGAGATAGGCTGAATATTTTGTTTGGACTAGTACTGTGTCCAGTGTTAGGGTTAAGGTGGCTAGTATGATTTTTATGAAGGTTTTATTCAGTCACTATTACCTAGTGATTTAATGTATAAAGTATTATTATCATTATCTATGGGATGTTGTCAGTTTTGGGTATAACTCGGCTTTCAGTGCAAAATCAGGTTTTATTACCATAAAAAAATGTCACTTTTCCTTTTATGAAACTTCACATGGCATATAACTGGTATGATGGTCAAGTCTCATAACAGCAACGTCAGTTTCTTCAAGAAAATATCGATAAATTCACATTACCATCAACTTGTTGGATGTCGGATCCATTTACATATTGTACTTGGGCTAATGCATCAACATATTCACCATAATTTGTAAAATGTAATGAATACATGATTGACCTGGTATTTTGCCTATTTTGATAATTATAGTAATTGGTTATTAAATATCTGGGAGAAAGCATTAGCTGGAATATGTCAAGCTTCTGATCTTAGTTGCTGTTGATCTTTGACAGTCATAACCACAAACTGCCAGTCTGACCATCCTTCCTCACTCTTCATTGTTAAAGTTAGTGTACGTAGAATGGCCAATAAAGGAAATTACTATAACAGAGTTTGCTTTATTCCTCAAGAAATATTGATTGAGATACTGTATAGATTTTCACCACTTTGGGCAGCTGGTCTGTTCTTTGTTATAACCTTCATTTTCCAGTGTTATTGCAGGAGGAAACCAGAGTACCCGGCAAAAATGTGATGTCTAAGTATTGTTCTAATCTAATAATAATAATAATAATAATTAACGATTTATTGAAAGAGCATGGCAGCCGGAAGGCTGAAAATATACAATTACATAATTGGAAAATGGGTCTCTTGATTTACATATGATGTACAAGTAACAGAAGTGATACAAATATGATATATAATAATTAGGTGTTGATAATTTTTACAATGGTAGGGACTGGGCTGTTCTTGTAGCAATTAGTTCGTGCTCGTATGGGCTAGATGCGGTTGGGCAGGTGTGTGGCCACGTGGCCAGGACAGTAGCTTGGGGCAATGCAGGTGTGCTCCATCCTTCAGGTTAGGTCAGGTCAGGTTAGGTTAGATCCAGCCACACTCAGTATTGCTGTGTTTTTGTGCTTTTCCTTCGAGTTAAAATTGCCACTTTGGTATATAACTTGTGGGTTTAACGTCAATCTTTGCACTGTACTGTTGGTGTGAGGTTGTTGATAAATGTAGATGGGGAAGGGGAGGGCTCGACAGACCGGGCTGGCAGCTGTCTCCATGGTCAAGAGACCACGGCCACGTTAGCGGGCAGCGCCGACTACACACGTCCTTACCCAGACACTAACTCCCCGTTTCCCAACCCTGGGGTCACCAAGCGTTTTTCTTGGGGGTCATGAAACAGTTCTGCAACTTCATGGAAAATTCCTACAAATCTGTAGGAGAAATAAGCCTACGTGGTGTCATATTATGGAATAAATTATGTTTGTGTTTACCTTTACTCTAAATGTTGTCTTGTTCTAACTGGGTTTTGTTTTGTTCTGTTGCAGATGTATATGGATTTATGAGTTGAATAAAGCCTTGATTAATTATTGAAGGTGTTTGATTTCATATGGCAATTTATTCAACTCATATTCTACTAGCAACATGGAATGCATACTCTGCCCCGACAAGCTTGATGTTGATCCAAATTCCCCAGCTGCCGAGAAGGAAAACTGACCGATTCACTGACTCACCTTTCCACTGAATCATTGCTTAAGCAATTCACTAATTCACTCTATCATTAGCTGACTGAATCACTGCGTCACTGATTAAGTAACTCACTAATTCACTGATTCTTAGCTCACGGATTCACTGACTCACTGACCTAATGAATCACGAAGAGCAAGGAAGCTGTAGAGGAAGAAGAGGAGTAGGAGGAGGAAGAGGAGTAAGAGGATTGACATTTTCTAACACACACACTTCTTGTCTCGTCCTCTACTCTATAAAGGTCAAAGGTCAGCCAGGTGTACGGATATATAGCTTATTATAGAACTAGAATATAATTAAGATTTTTTGAGTAGAGAGAGAGAAAGAGAGACAATGGATGTGTTTAATATACATTGTGAAAAAAGGGAAGCTGTTCACTACCGTTTGGTGTCATATTTTAATCCATGGTTTAAGTAATTTTTTTGGTAATAATGAAAATGTTGTTGAGTTCATTTGATTTATATGAACTAGTAAGTGACATAAGTGTGGAAGACTCATAGCCTTTGTTGTTAAGTGTGTACATGAGGGTGACATTTTATCTGTTATTATTATTATTATTATTATTATTATATAGGTCAGGTAGACATACACAGGTGTTGATAGACATAATTGTATCTTACCTGTGAGTGTGTCAAGTCAAGGGGTAACAATACATCAGGCTACGATCAACGAAAATGAATGGCTTTCGTTTAAATTTAATTTGGTAAAATTTTATGTACCAATTGACTGTATTTTTCTTGTAAATGTCAATAATCTCTTTAGGTTTATCAATGACTTACGGTAGAATTAGTGTGAGTTCCGTGTATTTCTCGGTAAACATCCAGGCGATATTTTGAAGTAACGGTTGTAATGGCGGTGGTGAATCTGTCTTCGTGATCGGGTGAATCTTTTTTGTATTCACGACTGAAGTTATGTTGTTCCATCATGCAAGCACCATCCCATTGACCCGCCACTGTGTTTTATTTTGAACGGTCGCCATTGTTCTGAGGTAAAGAGGTGACACCGTAACAGGTCTTGTCTTTCAGGTTCACCCGCGTCACCACCACCACACGAGACACGAACTAGTGCCACAAAACACACACAATATTATCAACTAATTTATAATATTTGTTGATAGGTAAGTTTAACTATTAAACTTGTTTCACGCTCAATTATAAATTTTAGTTGTTGAAGTGTAGTACTGTGGGGAACAGGTTGTAGTGGACTTCACCCCTACAACTGCGTATCCGCATTCCAATGTCACCGTATCCTAGCAACCGAACCAAAAGACGGCGACTTTCTCGGGTTTTCCCAACATGACTCATAGAGGACTCACGGCTGCTGGGTATATAAGCTCTGTCTCTCCACTGAGATTCATTCTAGCCTCTCTTCTACAACAAGCAACACCTCCTCCTCCGCTGCTGCCTGGCGGCCCTCGCTTCTCCTCGCCTGCCTGGCGGTCCTCGCTCCCGCCAGCGAGCATGGCGACCCACCAGCTGTCCTTCTCTGAGCTTCCTCACCAACCAGCTCTCATTCTGCCCATCTTCCTGAACACGCAACACCTCCTCCAGCAAGCTCCTCGCTGTCCCGTTCTCATTCAACCAGGAGGCCAGCAACAGGCAACATCTCCTCTAACGAAGCTCCTGCACATCTACCTCCTTCAACACGCTACTCACCGAACGTCTCTACTGAGCAGCTCCTCACCACACGGCACCTCCAGCACCAGACTGTCTATCATATAACTTATATTATACAAGAAAACCACCTTAGAGTTTCCATCCATCCTGAGTGCTCGACAACATTATACCACGAATTCCTACAAATGGTGACTCCCGGAGATTAGCACTCACACAGGATGGAGGAGACACTGATCACGCTCCCAGTCCTCAAGCAGCATAGAAGAAGGGCTTATCCACACAGAAGCAGACACCAGCTCCTCTTCCTGCCCCAAGCACCACATCCTACGACCCCAGCACACCCGTCCTGCCTCAGACGCTGACCCAGACCCACACACCCCTCTTTTCTCCCCCAGGTACTCCCTGCTAACGTCCTGCACCTTGCTGCTGTCGTGGACCCAGCTGCTGTCACGAGCCCTAATCCGCTTCTGCTGACGCAGCCCCTGCTCCTGACCCAGGCCCACACACACCCCAGCTGGCGCATCTGACGACCCTGTACCTGTCGTGAGGGAAGCACAACATTCATCGCCTCCACACACCCTTTTTCTCCCTTCTCCCACAGATAGTGTGTATCTAGACAGTTATATTTCAGCGATCGGCTCATTCACGCCATCGCCGTTGTCTCACATGAGGCATGCACCGCCCGGTCTGCCTCACATGTGCTAAGCAACTCTACAGACAACAAGTCTCCTACACCGCCTGGAGGGAAGGGGGAGTATTGTAGTGGACTTCTCCCCTACAACTGCGTATCCGCATTCCAATGTCACCGTATCCTAGCAACCGAACCAAGAGACCGGCGACTTTCTCGGGTATTCCCAACATGACTCATAGAGGACTCACGGCTGCTGGGTATATAAGCTCTGTCTCTCCACTGAGATTCATTCTAGCCTCTCGTCTACAACAAGCAACACCTCCTCCTCCGCCGCTGCCTGGCGGCCCTCGCTTTTCCTCGCCTGCCTGGCGGTCCTCGCTCCCGCCAGCGAGCATGGCGACCCACCAGCTGTCCTTCTCTGAGCTTCCTCACCAACCAGCTCTCATTCTGCCCATCTTCCTGAACACGCAACACCTCCTCCAGCAAGCTCCTCGCTGTCCCGTTCTCATTCAACCAGGAGGCCAGCAACAGGCAACATCTCCTCTAACGAAGCTCCTGCACATCTACCTCCTTCAACACGCTACTCACCGAACGTCTCTACTGAGCAGCTCCTCACCACACGGCACCTCCAGCACCAGACTGTCTATCATATAACTTATATTATACAAGAAAACCACCTTAGAGTTTCCATCCATCCTGAGTGCTAGACAACATTATACCACGAATTCCTACAAGGTTGTTTGGTTCACACTCAGGATGGGATGGAGAAAGGAAACTCACAATGTGCTCTCTGTATACATGTTGTATTGGATGTACAATGCAGATTGGTGCTGGGAAGGCAGCATGGTTACAAGCGTGATGTAGAGAGAGCTGGTTGGTGAGGATGCTCAGAGGAGGACAGCTTGTGGGTCGCCATGCTCGCCGGCAGGAGCGAGGACCGCCAGGCAGGCGGAGGAGGAGGTGCTGCTGGCTGATTGGTGTAGGTAGAAAGAGAGATCACCACGAGGTCAGGTCTTAAATAGCGGGGGTTGGCGTGGCTTAGTAGTTGACCCCCGCTCCGTGGGCGGCACTGGTTGACCTAGACCGCAGGCATACACTGGGGAATTCGCGGGGTCGGCTACGCAGCGACAAACAGCGTTTGTAGGGGAGAAATCCACTACAGTACAACAACGCCAACACCGCAAAAGTAAAAAAAAAAATTAACCTTGCTTTTATTTGTTTGCCTTAAAAACTAAATAACTTTTATAAGTCAATTATCATATGAAATATTACCATTTAACATCTGGTCTTTGTGTTTCTCGATGACCCTGTGTTGTCATCGACATTTACAAGTAAATCAATAATTTGTTTCCGTGAATTATATACAGTATGTATTGAAATTAGTTTTAGTATTTTGCCTCGAGTTTATTGTTTTGTAATTTATAATGTTCAATTCTTCCTTAATTGTTGTTGTTATTTATGTTTACTGTTATTTTCGAGCATCAGCAAGTATGCAGCATAATGGTGTAAAGTCTTTCTCTACAACAGACGCTAACATACGATTCATTTTGTTATAAAAAGTAAATTAATTTACGTAACGATTACATAACATAATATAATTATATAATGAGTAT